AAAAAAAAAAAAAAAACACAAAAAAAGTATAGGCAAATTAACAAGGCCCCTATATCAGAGTTCAGGGTGGTTTCGAGGTTCAGGGTGTTTCCGTATGGGGGTTTAGGGTTGAGGATGCAGCGCGCTTTCTGTGGGTTTTTCGAAGGTTCACGGTTTAGGGTAAAGAGGAATAGAACTAAAAGGATCTGTGGATGTAGGAGCAGTTCAGTATGACCTGACCTACATTGCGCGAGCAAGAGCATTGCTAAGACTTCTATATAACCTGTGCATCTACAACAACAATCAGCATAGACGACAGCTATAGTTCTGCCTGGTGGTCGTTTCTTAGGCGTTCCACGGTATCCTTCGAAGGAACGCCACTTGTACACATACACACTCGAACTCGCCCAAAGAGGAACGAAAGAGCTGGTTAAACCCTAAACCCTAAACCCAATGTCAGCGGCGACCCAACAACCGTCAAACATGAACAAATTGAGCCGAAGCCTACAAGCAAGCCTAATCCCAGACACACCCCAAACCCTAAATCCGCAAAACCCAAGCCCAGCCCAAAAACGTAAAGCCCTGAACCCTGAAACCCAATGCCATACCCGACAGCTCCCCACCCTTAAGCCACAACATTCGGCTTCAAAACATGAGCATCTCAGCCATCAACCTCAACATGGGTCAGGGTTTGGGGTCTAAGGTTTAGGGTTTTAGGGTGTAGGGTTTAGGGGTCTAAGGCTTAGAGACTAAAAACTCTATAAAACCTACCTTCTTCGGGTTCCTTATTATGATTTCCTTATATAAGTCCTTAAAAAAGTAGGTTCTTTGGGGTCTAGGTAAATACGGAGACTTCAGCCCAGGAAATATCAGGAAGCGGCCTGCGTTTTGTTGAACATGACAAGGCCAGCCCGGGCAGCCTGCAACACGACCCGGACCACCGGAAGGATCCAAAAAGCAGATCTTTTAAAAGGGTCTTCCTATATCGTCACCTTTAGTAGCATAGGGCCTCAAATTAGGGGATGTACTTTTTGTATAACAATGCGGTCTATGTCTAGCAAGGTTCTACACAGGATTTTTTGCGGCCTCTATTCGGTGGATAAGGTCTACAGCTTGGGGCAGTTGGAGTAGTAGGAGACACCAGCTCTTCACGTGCGGTTCAGGTTTGCTATGTTTGATCCCCTAATTTGGGGCCCTATACCACTAAAGGTTACGATATAGGAAGCCCCTTTTAAGAGATCTACTTTTGGATCCTTCCGGCAGTCTGGGGAGTTACTATATGGCCCTTTATCGGCTTTAGGGTTAAATCATGATCGGGCATTAGCTTGCTTTCCTTAATCATAACTCTATAAAGATTTGTCTAATCTGGGTTTCATGAGGTTCATTGGAGCCTTGATAAATAGCATAGGGGTTCGGAAGGGGGCGGGCGGCGGGGTATATTCGCAATATAGGTATTCATAAGAGGGAAGAGGGACATAACTGCTAAGCCGAGTGTCCATGCTACTTGACATGAACTGACGGGGTCTAGAACTCGAAGTCTAGAGGGTTTTTGGTCCCGCAACCTAAGGAAACTGGACACTTGCAGTGATATTCCCAACCCTAGCACCCAAAGATTAAGGTTTGGACCCTAAACCCTAAACCCTGTTTGGACCCCAAACCCTAAACCGTCTAGGGCCCCCCAGAAAGCCCAAGGAGCCTTCGGGGTAACCCCGAAACCCGCAGAGTTTGGTTAGAGCCTTTGGGTTTCTCGACCACTCGAAGCAACCGAAGCCTACTTGGAGGATCATGGGACTTAGTAAGTAAGGTTATAAGTCCCTTAGCTTGGGGTTATGAGTACATAATATGTATAGTTACATTAGCTATAACCCTATACTTATTAAGTCCAATGATCCTTTAAGTATACCCTGAAACCCTAAACCTAAAACCCTAAACCCTAAAACCCTAAACCCTAAACCCTGAACCCTACTTACTAAGTCCAATGATCCTTTAGGTAGGAGACTGGTGGGCAGAGGATAGAGGCCTGAAGCCTCCGGGCTTGGCAATTCTAGGCCTACTGCTCTAGGGTTTAGGGTTTAGGGTTTAGGGTTTAGGGTTTAGGGTTTAGGGCCTACTGCTCTGGGGTTTAGGGCCTAGTGCTCTAAAGGCATAGGGCCTAGTGCTCTAGGGTTTAGGGTTTAGGGCGTAGGGCATACTGCCACGGCAAGAAATCTGGGTTGAATGTAGGGGCCTTCATAACTAGAATAGGGCTTTGGGGTATAGTATATTGTGTAGGTCACACCCCCTAAATAGTATCAAGGCCCCTAGCCCTACACCCAAAACCCCTACGTGAGGGTCTTTCAAGTTCAAGACCACGAAGCCTCAACAATGAATCTTCCCCGTCCGAAACCCTAAAAGCTCTAACACACATCTAAACCCTGAACCTAAGTTTAGGGTTTAGGGTTTGGGGACTAAGTTTAGGGTTTAGGGACAAAACCTTAAACCCTAAACCCGCCAGCTCTTCGGCCCCAAACAACTCAAGCTCATGGTTTCAGGGGTTGGCTCCTGGAACAAGGATGTTTTTGGGGTTTAGGGTTTGGGGTTGTTGACAGCAATGGGGTTCCGTTGCTGTCTTACCCTCAATCCTGAACCCACGAACCAGGGGTCAGAAGCTCCTGCCCTATATTGCATTTACGCTTTAGGGTTTAGGGTTCAGGGATGGAGACATGAGCAAAAAATACCCCTAAACCTGACATCTCAACCCTAAACCCCAGACACAACCTGAAGCTTCAAGCGCCAAGAACTACAAAAGAAAAAGGACCTGGTTCTTCGCTTCGCCACAGGAGAAATCTAAGCTCTGACAGCAGTCCTGTCGGGCTCTTGGCTTAGAGGTTGTACGATATCTTTGGGCTTAAGGGTTTAGGGTTTAAGGTTTGCTATGAAACGATTAGGGTTTAGAGGTACGGTATCTTTGGGTTTAAGGGTTTAGGGTTTGAGGTTTGCTATGAAAGGTTTAGGGCTTGGGGTTTACGGGTCAGTCTTACATCATAGGTTTTCAGGTTTATGGCTCCTTTCAGGTTCTGTGAGGGGTCTGGGTTTACCAGTGTAGGGCGTAGCTAAAGGGGTGTGGAGAAGAAGCCAGAAAGTTGGACATACTTTGTTCTGGTACCTTTAGGGTTTAGGGGGTAGGGTTTAGGGTTTAGGTACCATGAAAGTAAAGTATACGGGATCCTGGCACCCACCCTTCTAAATCCATGTTTCAACTTTCTGGAGCTCGCCGTAGTGTTTAGGGCTTAGGGGCTTCGATACAAGATCTAGTGAGGGTTCCCCAAACCCTAAACCTGAAAACTTCTCACCCTGTGGGGGCTTGGGGTTCAGGGCAGGGCATGTGGGAGCCTACCCTAATCCCTAAACTCCAGAGCCAAAACCCCAAGTCCTGAACCCTAAACCCTCAACTCCAACCCTAAATTAATAAACCCTGAACCCTGACCCCTAAACCCCAACCCTAAATTACTCAACCCTCAACCCTGAACCCTAAACCCAAGCCCTAAACCCTATACCCTCAACCCTGAACCCTCAACCCAAGCCCTAAACCCTAAACCCTAATCCCTAAATCCTATACCCTGAACCCTGTATCCTAAACCTGTAGGGTTGGGGAGATCAGGGATTCCGAGGCTTGAGGTTATTAGCGGCCAGGTATGCATGTTGATACGGTTTTGGGTTTAGGGTTCTAAGGTTTATAGGGTTTAGGGTTTTATGTAGGGTTTGGGGTAATAGGGTTTAGGGTAATAGGGTTCAGGGTTGTAGGGTTTAGGGTTGTAGGGTGTAGAGTCATGTGGGGTTTAAGGTTTAGGGTAATAGGGTTATAGGAGTTGGGGTTATAGGGTTTAGGGTTTAGGTTTGTAGGGTTAAGGGTTTACGGTTGTAGGGCTTAGGGTTGAATATGGTGTACAGGGTGTTTACAAAGGCTTGGAATGCCGTTTCGTATGGCAACGTGCAAAGCTTCCTGGCAATGACAATGAGTGCATGACAGTGAGTGCTGTGGTGTTACTGCCGACATTTGGGCTTTGGTGAACTTATTTGGTGCACGCGCGGACAGGACTTAGGACTTGCCGCAGTCTGGGATCCCATGATGAAAAGGGTTTGAAACAGTAGGGCCTGAAACAGCGCAAAAACGGGAGCCCCTCATTTAAGCAACACCGCCGAAACTCCAAAAACCTAGACCTCGAACCCCAATGCTCTCGAACATCCCCTATATGACCCTGACCGGACCTTGTATTTGCGCGCTACTGATTCGCAGGAGTATGGGATCAGGGGACGTGGTGAACAGGTTGTTAACTACCAGTACAGCACAAGTAGGGAGTAGTTCTCCCTGCCACTGGATTAAGCAAAGGCGCGAGGCTGTTGTTTGCATGTGCATGTGTACGTATGTAGGACAGGTATCTAGATCTGGAGTGGGCTGATTTATCATGCTTATTTACTCGCGCTTGGTATGCAAACTGATCTTTTAAGGAACCCATGAAGGAGCCCTGTAACGAACGCTTAAACAAACCCTTGAAGGAATGCCCTTCAAGGAACCTTTACACGAGCCGTTAAGCGGGGTGGCGACTCCAGGGCCGCACACATGTTCCGATGCAAAAGGCCTGAATCTTGAACCTGCAGGCAGACTTGAGATCAAGGCGTATCCTCCAATATTCGTTGGACATCATCATGGCCGTTCTCAATTGATAGCAACAAGGGCGTAAGTCCGTCACGGTTAGCTAGGTTCCGGTCTGCACCGGCTTCCAGCAGCACACGGACAACTTCAACATGGCCGTTTTGGGAAGCCAGTATCAACGCTGTGTTGCCGTGCCGGCCGCCCAAGTCCGTATCTGCGCCGGCCTCCAGCAGCAAACGCAAGACTTCAGTGTGCCCTTTCTCAGCAGCAAGCATCAAGGCAGTGACACCGTCCTTGGTGGTTGAGTTCATGCCAACACCGGCGTCCAGCAGCAACCGTACAACTTCGACGTGGGCTTTTCGAGAAGCTGTCATCAAGGGATTGAAGCCGTGATTCCCAGCAAAGTTTGCGTCGGAACCAGCCTTCAACAGTTCATGCACAACTTCGCCAAGGCCTACTTCAGAAGCCAGCATCAGGGCAGTGCTACCGCGCTTGTTGGCAAGGTTCACGTCGGCGTTGGCCTCAAGCAGCAATCTTAGAAGCTCAAGGCGGTTGCTTTGAGCAGCGATCATCACGGCAGTCTCGCCACGCTTGTTGGCTAAGTTTAAGTCGACACCAGCTTCCAGAAGCAAACGCACAGCTTCAATACTTCTGGCGCTTATCAGGGCAGTGTTGCCATGATCGTCGGTCAAATTCTTGTCAGCACCGGCTTCCAGCAACACGCGCAGAACCTCGATGTCGTCTCTTGAGGAAGCGCTCATGAGAGCAGTCCGCCTACCATTGCTGGCCGCCGTACTTTGGAAGTCAATGTCGGCTGCGGCCTCCAGCAGCAGGTGTAGAACTTCCATATGGCAGTGTGAAGCTGCCATTCGCAACGGAGTTTTGCCATCCCTGTCCACCACATCCGGGTGCTGCCGCTGCTGCAGCAAGGATTCAACCTGACTTGCGTGGAAACTCGACGGAAACCCCTAAGGGTCCGGTTTAGGGTTTAGGGTTTAGGGTTTAGGGTTTAGGGTTTAGGGTGTACCCAAATAGTATGTACTTTGGCCCTAATGTAGTCTTTATATAGGTACTTTAGGGCCAATGTTCTACTATTTGGGTACATGGACCCTTAGGGAAGAGGCATGACTTCACTGTTTCAGACAGCCTCAGGGGCAGAGCTTCAGGGACCCCAACCAAGGTGAGAAGGATGTTGTGGGTCCCAGAAAAGGGCTAAGCCTGCTAAGCCCCAAAGACCGGAACCCCTAAACCACCGGCTAAATAAACTAGACCCTACAATCCTAAGCCTCGACTAAACAAGAAACCCACCTCGGACGTTTGGCTGTTCCAGGCGGCGTTGACCATTTGATCGGAGCGTGCCCCCGATTCCAGGGTCCATGGGAGCCTTGCATCTAAGCTCATGCAGTGTTTGGAGGATTTTCACAAAGCTTTATGCACTGCAAGGGTTTTCTATGGTTCTGGATAGTGTTATGAAGGATCTTCGCTGGGGGCGGGGAGGAAAGGGTTTTCCAAGGATTTGTAAGGCTGTCTGCCACAAACATGGATAGCACCCTAGTCTCTCTATACCCCTACGATGCAACCCTTACAAAGCCCTCATAGTCATGAACCCCTTGTCAAGTCAGGCTCCACAACCCTCCTCAACCAACCCTAAACCCTAAACCCTACACCCAGGAGCAAGACAAGCTCCAGGTCTAGGTCCGTGGTCGTGTCGAGCTTGGCTGCGTCCTCCATGGGATGGCCTGGTCTTGTTTCTCTCGTTTGTAAATCTAAACATACGTACCTACCTACCTACCTACCTACCTACCTACCTACCTACCTACCTACCTACCTACCTACGTACATACGTACATATTATATGTACATACATACATACTTACTTTCTTACCTCCATACATCCATACATACATACATACATACATACATACATACATACATACATGCATGAACATAGAGAGATCTATAATATATGTAGTTCTTTATATCTATACATAGGTGCCTTAACACTTCCAAAGGTTTGGAGAGGCATGCTACAGTGTACTAATATCCCCTCAAGGAAAGTATAACGACTAATCAGGCACCGATGTTGTTCATTTTTAGGGCCGGTTTGGACCCCACAAAACTGAACACAGCCACATTCAAGACTATAAATCTCGACCACAGGGAAATGGTGAAAAAGTGTGCCAACTCGACAACTAGTAGCCCTGGAGAACAAGTTGTTGCCGAAATCGTGGGGGCAAACCGTGCCGTCGACTTAGTTCCTGCTTCAGGGTCATCACATCTTCGACTTCTTCCACGGGTATGCTGGCAACCTTCTCCCCTGACATCATCCGGATGTGGAGCATGATGGTCTGCGATGGAGTCGCGACCTTGCAGCTCCCTGGATGCCCGACTCCATGGCGCGCGGGACAGCCGGAGAGGCCCTGTGAGTTCCTCCTGTCGTGTCTGGTGTATAGTAGGGCCTGGGTAAAATCACGCTGTAGTGGTGGTTCTTTGTGAGGTAGAACATTGTGAGGAAGTTTGAATAGAGCTGTCAATACCGCATAGGGGACTTCTGCTAGATATACTGGTCTCAGCGCATGTAAGAACTGTATAAACGCCTGCCGTTAGACAGGCTACCTCTGCAGCCGAATGTCGTCAAGCTCAGGATCACTCGTCTCGCGCTGAACAACCCGTGTTAAATAGTACAGAACACGGAAGTGGGCTCTCTCTCGCGACGGGAAAACAAGGAATGCCAGCGGTTGAGCTTTCTCTCCGTCTTTCTCTCCGTTTATTGCATATAGTTGGCAAGACTCCTAGTCCTATATGCCAATACTTCGATCACCAACATGGCTGCGAATAAAATCGTCCTTAAAAATTCCGGGCCACAATGGTTCCTGGTCAGGCTTTTCAGACCCATTACGATAACATCTGCTTGGGTGACTACAAACCCATGTAAGCCTGCCTAAAGTGTTCTGGATCCTTCAGCCGAAGCAAAACCTTGTTTCAGATCGTTTCAGAGTGCATACGGTTTCGCACGGTATCTGAGTGCACATGCATCATTTTGAAAGGCGTCGGGGTCTAAGATTCAGGGGTCTGGGAGAGTACCAGCCTTTGAAGGTTTAGGGTTTAGGGTTTTGGGTGTAGGGTTTAGGGTTGAGGGTTTAGGGTTTAGGATGCAGGGCTCCGGGTCTATGCGCAGTATTAGAGGCCTGCGCCTGAATACCATAGGCAATAGCCCTAAGGGTCCATGTACTCATATAGCATATACATGGGCCTGAAAGTACCTATATATGGACTACATTAAGGCCAAAGCATATACTAGATGAGTACATGGACCCTTAGGGTAGGTTACTCCTTGAGGTTTCTAGAATCATTCTCGTTGCATAACAACCAAGCAAAAGCTGATGTCAAGGCCCATACACTACCGAACCGAATGCAAAGCAGGTTTTGGCTGCAGAGTGTTGCCTGGGTTGATTTCCTCTGGGTGGAGGGCTTGCTTGGGAAGTTTTGGGACATGTGGCCTGGTTTTTAATGCTTAGGGAATTTGCGGATGAGTGCAACATCCGATACATGCGCGCCAAAGACTCCTGGGTAACACAGAAGCATTTGCGCCTAGTCGAATCTTGAGACGTCGCCACAACGCCTTTTTCACGATTCAAGCAGCATGAGAAGAGTGGCACCACTGAGCTGAAATCTCCACTCCGGGATCCATCAGAGCCATAACTGGATTTCACCCTGGAGTTGCACAGAGGTACCACTGTCATGAACATGGTGATTCGTTTCCTTTGTGTGTCTCCAGCAACAGACTTCGTGGATAGATTCCGCTTAGGCTGCAAGGCGGACACCAGCTTCCAGTAGCAAAAAGCGCAACCTTGAGGCAGCTTCGGGTGTTGACGACACTTGGAGGATCATGGGACTTAGTAAGTAAGGTTATAAGTCCCCTAATTGGGGTTATAAGTATAGTTACCCTAGTTATAACCCTACTTACTAAGTCCCATGATCCGTTAAGTAGGACATTGATGCCATCGCTGCTCATGACCTTCTGGTCGGTACCCGCCCGCAGCATCTAAGGCAAACATAGAAGCGATCATCAGGACTATGATTGTCCCTAACCCTCCAGGTACCTACTATATAGGGTACTAGAGCCCCTAGGGCCCTATATAGTAGGTACCTGGGGGGCTAGGGTGTTTCATGCTTTCCAGCGTTTGGTCGGCGCCGGCCTCCAGAAGCAGAGAACGACATTGCCACCGGCAGATGCCAGGATCAGCGCACTTCAGCCCCATCCGAACAGCATGCAGCCACCTGGGAACTGGAGCAACGCCTTAACCTCGACCTCAGAGGCTCCAAAGCTTGTGGTTGAGATCTTTGCAAGGTACCGACGCACGCAGCCTGGTATGTTCCCCATGCTCATTCTCAGGGTGTTGATGATGTTGGTGTTGCTAGAGAATGATGGTAGTGCTGGTGATGGCAATGGGAATCCAGATGCTGGTAAGGACAACCATGATGACATGGTGCCGAGCATCCTTACACAGAAGAAAAGGATGTATTTAGATCCAGTTAGGTTCTCATGAGACTAGGGCTAGCTGCCTGTGAAAATACGAGAGGCTGAGGCTCATACAACAAGCAAGCACGTAAGCAAGCATGCAGGCAGGCAAGCACGCAGACAAGCAAGCAAGCAGGCAAGCCGGCAAGCAGGCAAGAAGGCAAGCAGGCAAGCAAGTAAGCAAGCAGGCAGGCGGGCGGGCAGGCGAGCAAGCAAGCAAGCAAGCCCACAAAACGACACACGCACATGTACGCGCACACACACACACACAAACAGACAAACCCTGCACACCCGCACAGACACAGCCACTCCAATTTCCAACGTCAACCAGTAGCCTCGGCACCAGCAGCGATTGGAGCAGCGAAGCCATACCAACGGCAACCATCGGTGCACCAACATCAAGCAGCGACAAGGTGCAAGGATAGACATCGAAGCTGCTTTCATCCACCTGCTCTGCTTTGTCGTTGCCGGGAATAAAAGCTGTGGTGTTCAGAGTCTGAACATTAATTAGTTTAAGGTTTAGTAGGGTTTAGCTTAAGGTGCAGAGCATGTATAGAGTAAAGCTAGCTAGTACGCTTGGGAATTGCGGTTTCAAGTGCTGCATATACAGAGAAGAAGGAAAGCCTAAATTGGACAATGGGAGGAGGCGCCTTTCAAGATCGAGCACCTGATGTGTTTCGAATGCGCTGTTGCTCCTCCCAGAAGAGCGCCACATGAACATGTGTAAAGGGACCCATGTCATATTCGACATGGACTGTCGTGAAAGCAAAATCTTCAGCCAGTGACGTCAATATCAAGTACAAGGCATTCCACATGCCCACATCCGCTGAGGGAGCACAGTCATGGCGAAATCCAGCAAGGGCGTTGATGTGTTTGTCGACGTCTTGTGGTGAGCATAGCGTCTCTATTTCGACCGAATCCGATCCCACCACTTCTCGCCGTCCACTGATATGAATGAAATCTCGCAGAACCTGCCCGGTGAGCGGTGCGACAGGAACGAAGGGTTCATGGCCATCCCAACCGAAATGTCGCTCTGCAAACCTTCGCACTGCATCAGCATCATCATCTTCTGGCCCTGGTGAGCAAAAAAACGGCGAATGCCCCCTTTTCAGCATGTCCTGCAAGAGGGCTTCCAACGCAAGCATGTTGCAAATGTGAGCTTTCACGTGCTGCCGCCATTCGCGACAGGCCGCCCTTGCATCGACGCAATGCTGCGCAGGCAGAAAGTTGATGACGATTGCATGGTCCTCCCTGCTGAGCAGACGTGGTTGTGCCATCGCAAAGGGTAACCAGGCCGGGTCGCGACAGTCCTAACTCAGGCCGACGTCTTGCACATGGACAAGCATGCTGCAAAAGCCTCTGCTCGCTACATAGCTAGGTCCGGCACCGAACAAGTAGCCACAACTCCCATACTCCGCCCCAAGCTAGCTTGACTAATTGAAGACTGAGCCGACTTAGCAAATAACTATGCCACGGAGCCGAAACACTCGCAATCTTTGCATCTTGTGCAGCGTACGTACTGCAAGAGTCTCTGTTCCCAACATCATTCCGGTTATGCCCAAGCCCTAAAACCCTCCCCCGCCCCTCCCCCATACCAAACTACTTTGACGGGGACTGGTCCGTTGATCAAACCCCCTTGTGGCCGGTCTTCGGACTTGATTGATCTTGCGTTCGCGAATCACAGCCGAGGCCGTTACTCATCACTGGGGACAACGACGACCATTGATTTCAACCCTAAACCCTTAACCCCTAAACCCTAAAACTCTATCTAAACCCTTAAACCCTAAACCCTCAAACCCTTATAAGCCCTAAACCCTTAAACCCTAAACCCTAAAACTCCATCTAGACGCGTAAACCCTAAACCCTTAAACCATAAAACTCTATCTAAACCCCCTATCCTGAAGCACGAAGCTGTGCAACTGCCCTCGTTGTCCGCTTGCCTTCCCAGCTGCGAAGTACTGCACTGTGAAAGACCCTGTGGGTTGGGGCTTAGGATTTAGGGTTTAGGGTTTAGGTTGTAGGGTTTATCGTGACTTACCAAAACCTAGTGCTTTGGTGTAGGCTCCCTATAAACTCTCTCTCTCTCTATATATATATATAAAAATATATATATATATATACATATATTTATATGTTTGGTTCATGAAAGGAACCTGCAAGACACTAGGTTATGGCAGTGTCACGTCTGGTTTAGGGCTACAGGTCTGGAGTTAACAGAGTCGTCTGTAATGCTCGGGGTCCGAGGGAGACATCGACTCACTACATGGGTCCGTATCTTTGCACGCTGTTTGAGGTTTCAGGGTTTAAGGTTTACAGTTTACAGGCAAGGGTTTATAGGGTTGAAGCAAACAGGTTCGGTGAAGGCTTGGTAACCCGCATAGAGCATGGGCGCACACGGATATTCACTGCACCACTGACTGCGCCAACCGGTCACACACAAAACGATAAGCCAAAGCAACTTCGCACACGTGTGCATCTGCAGGCGAAACAAGCAAACACACACAGACACACACACACAGACACAGACAGACACGCACACACACACACGAAGATTATGCAACACACGAATCCCTCCCAAGAGACGATTTTGACGGTATTTACCATGGAAAAGAGACCGAGGTAGGTCATGGGTGTGTGTGTGTGTGTCCATATATATATATATATATGTTATATATATATACAGATTTACAACTGCTTATATATTCATTTGTTTTGCATATACATGCTACATATAGTATATTTGTATATGGCTGTATATGTAAATCTATCTGTGTAGAGAGAGAGAGAGAGCGAGACGAAAAAGAGAGAAGTGCGAAACTT